CTCTCCCTCTGGCCTTCCACCCGCAGTGATTCTGATGCAGCCATCAAACTGCTAAATGATCGCTTCTTCTCCACCTTTAATTCCCTTCTCCCCTTGAAGTCCAGGATCATCTCCAAATCTACCTGCTCCCCCGGTACAACAGTCACCTATGTTCCCTCGAATCCCAAAGCCAGTTGCTCGAGCCCAGATGACACAAAACTGGCCTGACGGTTCACCGCCAACTGTGGCTTGAGCACCTTCATACCTACCGCCGCTCCCTCTCTCAAGAAAAAACGCCTTCTATTCACAGGTCATCCTCAAGGCCAGAAATTCCCCCCAAAACCCACCACCTCCTCCACACTCCCTCTCAAGCACCCTCGATCCTTACTTCTGATACCAAGTGCAAAGAAGTCCAGGACTTCTTTATCTCCAAGATATGCTATCCCCCCCAACCCCATGCCTTCTTCACCACCCTCTCCGCATTACTACAGCCCACACCCTCCACTCATTTGCCCCATCTTTCCCTCCTCCCTTTCCCCCATCACCACCTGCTGTCTCGACCCCCTTCCCAATCAACTCCCCCTCCTTGGCCCACTGCTGGCTGACACAAATCAACTGGTCCCTCTCTTCAGGCTCTGTTCCACTCCCCCTCAAAACTGCTGTCATCAGTCCTCTCCTTAAAAAAACACTCTCGATTATTCCAATCTCACAAACTTCAGACCCGTCTCTTGGAACGCATCGTTGCAAATCAATTTCACTTACACCTCTCTCTCCACTCCCTACTCGGTCACCTCCAGTCCAGTCCAGTTTTCGTCCTGTCCACTGTACAGAGACAGTGCTCATCAAAGTAACAAATGACATCCTTTTTTCCATCTCCGTCACATTCTCTGCTTCCATCTGTACCTCACAACAAAAGCAGCCAAAACCCTCATCCACACCTTCATCACTTCCCTGCTGGACTATTGCAATGCCCTCCTTACTGGTCTCCCGCAGCTATATAATGCACAAAATTCAATTAATTAAAAACTCTGTCCGGATTCTCACCCGCACAAAACTCTGTACCCCCATCACACCAGTCCTTGCTAGGCTCCACTGATTCCCAATTACTGAACAGATCGATTTCAAGATCCTCTCACTTGTTTTCAAATTGTTTCATGGCCTCGGCCTCCCTACCTATCCAATTTGCTTACCCCCCCATTCCCCCACCCGCTGCCTCTGATCTGCTGGTTCCGGCCTCCTGTTCAACCCTTCCAATCGTAATCCCAAAAGACAGTACACAAATAAAAGTTAGTGAACATCAGAACTCCCAAATACTTTTACAAATCAGCAATTGTGACTAATACCCTTATATCCTCTGATCAAGTCTACAAGGCCTCTTTCAAGCCTTATAGTACCAATTATCCAATAATTCAATTATACTACAGTAAACAAGAAAATATTATTCGTTATTTTCGTATGTATTATGTCTAAAAACATCACATGACCATTAAACTATCTCTTTAAAAGACACATTTTGCATGCTTAACTATATGGTAGTTATGCTCACACAAAACATGTGCATCTGGATATAATTACATGTGTCTTAAGCATGCACCAAAATGTTAAACCATAATTTTAGCTCCCACTTATGCCCAGAGTGTTTCCTACCACTTTTAATATTGTTGTTACTCTGTTTTCTGTTTGGCTTCATTTATTGTATGCTTTGATCATTTACAATTTCAGTAAGGTAACCTACAGCATAATTTGGTATTCTAGCCTGTGGTAACAATGGGGAGGCAGAGTTATGTCAATGTGTGATCACAGCAGGCAATCACCTCCCAGTTCTTTTTCCAGGATCCACCAATTGCTCTTATTTTCACTAAAATTCCAGACAAACAGGTGTATGTTAAAAGTAGTTGAACACCTACCCTAGAGCAAATGATCGTAAAATGTTTATAATCCAATCCAGGACATACACTGTATATACCCACATTTCACCCACAAAATATAGAGTCAATTCACTTTACAGAATATTTTGTGAAGCTCTTTGAGATGTCTTGAAGACATGATAAAGTACTATATCAAATGTAAGGATTATTATTAGTAGTAGTATACAAACAGATAATTACACATGCAAAGGTTCACAGAAGCACAGATACATACAAACATGCATTCATGTACACATATTTTTCTGCCCATCTGCTCCAGGATCTCAGTTAATGCCACTTTGAAACTAGCTGTCATTAGGCATGGGTCAATGGCATGGAGTAACTCTCCCTCCAGTGTTTGTGCTTTTCTATGTTCAAGTTATTGACATCCTCTTGCAGTATCCCTAGTCTGAAGTTGACAACTCACTATATAGAGAAATCGGGCATATATCCGTATCTTATCAACCTTTGATATGGCACCTTGATGCTCACTCAGGTTGTATATTACATTGCTCCTCAAAACAATTATTACATTTGGTATACTTTGAGAGGACATCCCACACACTTCACAGGATATTTTAGACTGTGCCGGAACTGTGTATTTTGTGGATGAACCTGGCAGTCAATTTGCATGCAGCAATGTCTCACAAACAGCCATGAAATGAATGACCAATTTTATTTTGGGTGATTATTTTTCAGGACACCAGGAGAAACTTCCTTCTCTTTTTTCAAATAGTGCCATGGCATGTTTAATGTCCACCTAAACAGGCAGACAGAAACTCACAAAATTCTGTACCCCCATCACACCATCTTTAACATCGCATCCAAAGGTTGGCACCTCCAGCAAATTAGCACTGCTTCAGCACTGCACTTTCTGACTCAGAGGCAAGTTCTACCAACTGAGGCAGGCTGCTACACATACATATGTAAATTATAAATAGTACCAATGAGCCCACAATAACAGAAATGCCACAAAAATCCACACCAGAAGAATAAGCATTTGAAAGACACTGACTTGTTGCTGAGCATCCTGAAGGCAGAGTCAGCTTCAAAGTGGGCATGTCTACTTGCTAAAGCCACTCACGTGAAGAAGACCTGTATAATGCAATTGGTGTTGAGTTTGCTTAACTTGGATTTCTAGAGCATCAGGGTGGCTGGCAAATCACAAGCTGTCCTGTTCCATCATTCAGATGCAAGTGCTTGTCAAATAGCTAATGAGGAAACTCTGAGGCTTGGGACTGACAGCTACTGGAAGACATATCTTGGACTCTTGGTTCAAGCGCTTTGGGGCACTACCTTGCATTAGGTGTGCTATATAAATGCAAGTTGTTGTTTTTGTTGTTCAGGAACACACATTCATATGTCCAGTGTATGGTTCGCAGAGAGGTAAGTAGCTGCTGCTCAAACTTCACACTTCAACTGGTGGAACCATAGCTTAGGAGGTAGGGGGTTTGTCCGAGCTGTTGTGCAGGAGGACGGTGGCAATACCCACATACACTGACACTGAGCTGTGCTGCTTACCATGAAGCTTGGAGGGAGTTCCAAGTACCTGCTATTCACCTAAGGAGGACTCAAACTTGTGCTTTTCGGATTGTGAAATGACCATCTAGTGACTATCTGCTGGGGGAGAGAGGAGTAAGGTGACATACTTGGTAATAGAATTTCGGCATAGAGTCAACCATCTGCGGCGGACCTGTTAGTCCTATTCATGAACAGATGTACCGGCAATTCTCCAGGGCACTGCTGATGCCAGACCAGCCAACCTGATTCAGTGGCAAAATATGGCGTGGCAGATAGTCACTTGGACCAGGGTCCTACTTGGAACCTACTTGGTCCCCGTTATCCCTGCAACCCAAAGCTCTAAAGGTAGGGTAGTGACAAGCAGCAGGAAGGTCGCCATACAGTACTTTCAATAGCTGTTTCTTGCCCACCTGTGCCTAACACTTAGATAAATAGGTACAAGTGTGCATTCCCTTCCAGACAGTGAGATTTCCATGTGTAGGTGGCATACAAATGTGAAGCTGTCAGTCTAGTTTGGATACTATTAAACTGGTTGATGGTTGTTCACATAACCAAATAAAACTTTTATTTTTCTTGTCAATTTCTGCTGGCGTGGAAGTAGATAAGTATGTGCCATGCCTGATTTAGTGGCAATGCCATCACTGCCCGCGCCAAGCGAATTTTCCAAATTTTTGTGCAAACGGTGGTGGGTGTGTGGGGTGGGTGGGGGGTTGCGGTTGGTTGGCATTTTGCAGGCGTTTGCAGTTTCCCCTCCCCCCCCCCACCCCCAAACTCGGCACTGTGCTGCGCGACTGTCAAGCGCTCTGAAAAAAATATGCATATACAGTCGATAGACTTTACAGTATATCCTGTGAAGCGCTTTGAGACGTCTCCAACACCCGATAAGGCGCTGCGTCCAACGCAAGGATTATTATTATTATTATTAATGACGCAGGGATGGGGGCGGGGCGAAGAGCGAGTGGGAGGAGGAACGCCACGCACGGACGCGCATACGTAATCACGCACCACCCAAATTACGCCCGACGCACAGCCCTGGCTCTTCCCTGGCGTTTCTTTCCTTTTCCTCTTGAACTGACCCGAGTTATTTTCATACATAATAAAAATAAACACTTAAACACACATTACGCGCACCAGTTTGGTTCAGTGCCGGGGGGGGAGGGGCTCGCCTGGCCTCCCTCCAGGTTGAGGGCGGGCGTTGCCGCCGCCTGATTTTAAGCGATTAAAACACGTTTGTCGCCCAAAGTCCCACCCAACACGAGCCCAAAAAGTAGCCCAATGTAATGCGTTGACTGCTATGGAGGGGGGGTAACAGAGTTGCCTATTTAGCGTTTTGAACCCGTGTCAGAAAAGGTCTCCCCCCCCCCAACCAGAAAAAATGTTATTCATCAATTTAAAAAAAAATCAGGCAAAACCGCCCAAAGCCGTTTTTTTTCACACGCACAGGCACAAAAACACGCCCAATCGGGCGGCGTGAAGGCCGCCCAATCGGACCAGCGTTGACGTCGCGTTTCCTTGTGGCTCCGCCGGGGGAGGAGCTCTGAGGATGCGGCAGTGCGTGCGTGCGTGCGTGCGTGAGGCAGTGCGTGCGTGGGCAGTGCGTGCGTGCGTGACGTCAGGCGGCGGTTGGTCTCGCGGCTCCGGGTTGCCGGGTTTCAGGAGCGTGAGGAGGAGGAGGAGGAGAGGCGGCGGCGACATGAACGGCATCGCCAGGGGCAGGTTTGAGGTGAGCTCCTCACTCCCTCCCTTCCTCAGGTCATGTCACCAGCGTTTTGTGTGTGTGTGTGTTGTTATATATAACATGGTGGGGGGGGGAGAGAAAGAGAAAAGGTGAAGAGCCAGAGAGGAGGAGGAAGCTCTCCACCACAGGTCTCACACCCAAACAATAACAATAACACAGCTGTAAAGTAACAGGGAGAGGCGGCGGCGGGCGGGCAGGGCGGGCAGGGCCGGGCCCGAGTGTTTGTGTGTCTCTGTCTCTCAGTGTCTCAGTGCAGGAGCCGAGCACATACACACACACATACATACATACACATACATACATACATACATACATACACACACATACACACACATACATACACACACACACATGCATACACATATACACACATACACACACACACAACGCTGTAGCCTTAAATCCTGCTTTGTTTTTTTCGTGTGCAATAGACTTTTTGACGAGAGGTGTGACAGAGGGGAATGGAGAGATAAGCAACAACAACAACAGCAACACATTACATTTTGTATAGCGCCTTTCACGTCGGGAGGACGTCCCGAGGCGCCGAGAAACATGACTTTATATTGCAATCGGTCACTAGTGTAAGATGAATAAAAAAAAATTTTTTTTAAAAAATTGCTTATTCAAATTGTTGTGTGTAACTGGGATGCTTCGTGTTGAAGGAGAGGGATGTGGAATTATAATAATTACTATTGGGTCTAAAACAATAGAAGATGGTGATTTACACGTTTTGGTGCATTGTAGCCAGTGGTCCAGAGTCTGGTCTGAATGCAGTGTTTTACACAGATGTCAGCAGTTCATAGACACTGGAGAACAATAGCAGTCTGTGCTTCCAGTCTAATGGATCCCTCACCCTGTGACCTCTGGGTTTAAAATAACTAAGCCTTTTGTCATATTGAGCTTCACCTAGAGAAACTGGCAACTCCAAAGTCATGTTCTTTGCCTTGGTATTAAATAAGGGTCTGGTCAAGTGAAGTGTGTGTATGTTTATAGTCTGCCTGATTATTAGCTGGTTGCATTGCACTCTTATTGTCTCTGTAACACTTCTTTCTTTGAATTATTCAACAATGCTTCAAAATTCCCCGTGCTTTTGACTGAAGAGAGAGCCGGTGGTGTTACAAGGAGTGATGGAATCTGACAATTGTGAAGGAGAGGGACAAAATATTAGAAATGGCAATCTGCAAGATAGTTGTAATATTAAAGGTGATTTGTTTGCTGATTTGGATAATCAGATGCAAAACAGTGGTAATTCCCTATTTTTGTTGACTTTCATGTCAGCCCCTTCTTTCTCCACCTTGCTACCCAAATGAAAGCAAGACATGTTTTAAATAGTGGCTATCCATTTTCACATTGTAGAGCAGTTTTATAAGTCCAGAAAACAATTGGTTTGCATTGGGCCTTAGATTGTTTCTTACTTGAGTAGCAAGTAGAAGCTGAAAATAGGAAGTGAATCAATGTGTGTAACCATGCAGAATAGTACCTGTCTATCTAAGACTGTCCTATCTGTTATGGCTTTGGCTTGCAGGATAGATCTTGTCTAAACTTTATGTTTGCTTTGGCTGTGGGTGGGAGAGAATCTGCCAAGGGGAAATTGATAAAGATCTAGGAGTGCTAGTTGACTCGCTCACCATATCAAAACAATAGACAGCAATAATATTAAAAATAGTAATCCTTACATTTGATATTGCGCTTTTCGCAATGGGAGGATGTCCCAATGTCCTTCACAGGGTATACTATAAAGTGCAGTGGTCATGCTATACCTGGAATCCTTTATATAGTTCTGGTTGCTACAGCATAAGAGGCCTACTCAGGCCCAAGAGGCTGGGCCAGAGAACAGGATTGAGGTTGCTCCTCAGTGTTAGACAAATTAGCTAAGAACAACAATTAGACAAGGTAGGGCTCTTCAAACTTCAAAAGAGATGTGTCAGAGGAACTACAAACTATATAGTCACTACATTTTGCAGTAATTCCTGTGAAGTTCTTTGAGACTTCCTCCTGATGTGAAAGGCACTATGTCAAATGCAAGGATTATTTATTCTTAAACACATAAACTAGCAATACACAACTTAATAAAGTGCTTCTCACTTTAAGCTGTTGTGCAGTGCACATCATTCTTCTTGACATAGAGGGTCAGTTGTACTAAACGCAAACTAAACAAAGTATTCAGCAAAAACTGGAATGTCAAATAGCAGATCTAAGTGTGTCCCTGTGGAGTCTTGTAACTCAGTGGTTAGAGCACTCGCCTCGCAAGCGAGAGACCTGGATTTGATTCCCGGCAGGGCGAAATGTTGGGCAAGTTTCCTTACTCCAAACACCTCTGTTTATCTAGCAGGAAGTAGGAACCCAGTTGTTAGTCGATAGGCGAATCGCTTTTCCGGTGGTAATAATTCCTTCAAAAAAAAAGTTGGTTGCTTCAATCCACAACTGTTTGCAGGACACTGCTGTATGCAATTAGCTGCCGCATTTTGCCCACAAAAATATACAATCAATTCACTTTATAGTCTATTCTGTGAAGCGCTTTGAGACGTCTCGAAGACATGATAAGGCGCTATCAAATGCAAAGATTATTATTACATTAATGACCTGAATTCACAGACTTGGTGTAAAATTGTTAAATTTGCAGATGATACCAAGTTGGGGGGAGCTGTGGAATCAGAGTTGGAAGCAAAGGTCTTGAAAAGAGGTGGGGTATGCACATCATAATAATCCTTACATTTGATATAGCTCCTTATCACATTGTGTTTAATAGAGTTTTACTGTAAAGTGTACTGGATTTGTAGGTGAACACTTTTGCCAATTTACGCACAGTAGTGTTTCACAAACAGGAGAGCAATGAGGATGGTCCCTCTGGTTAGAGGAATGAACAGCGAATAGACAAGCCTGGGCTTTTGAAGCTCGTCGAAGTATCGTTTTGCAGACGATCTTATAAGGTTTTAAATGCGATGATAAAGTAAAATGCTGGTGCTAGTCTTTCGATGGCTGTGCTGTCATCAGCAATGCCTTGGAATACTGTGCATCTGCCTGACTCAGGGACTAGACTGCCGAGACCACCACAGACATTTGGCTTGATCCTGACATTCCATTGCCAAACATGTCACCTTGGAGTCAGTTTAGCTCCATGGAGAACTCGCTTACTTCCCCAAGGAAACCCTAAATAAATGTAAATTGTTTTAGTGGGCCCACTTGTATGTTGGTGGTCCACGTTCCCGGCCCCCCACCATCGACGGTTATTCCTTCAGCCTCTCTGCCCCCACCCTTTGAACTCCATCCCACTGTCCCTTGACTTGCTCCCTCCCTTGCTTCCTTCAAGGCACCTCTCAAGATCCTCTTCTTCTAAAGCGCCTTCAGTAACCCTCCTATCCCTACTCTCCCTGCCCTCCAACCCTCCTGATCGCAACCCCCTGCTTGAGTCAAAATCTCTGACTGTCCTCCCGACCTGAAAGGCGCTGTACAGTGTAATTTGTTGTTGTTCTATGTGCAGTGTAGGTTGTTGATTAAATTGGATTTTCTACGACTTATACAGTTTGCCTGCAGCTTGGCCTTCGCGCAAATCATATTAAATGTTATGGTTCCAACTGATACAATTTATGTGAGTTTTAATATATCTGTTCTGAAATTACTCTTTACAACTCTAACTCTACATCAACACCTTGGGACATCCTCCTGAAGTGGAAGGCTCTATATAAATTTGTATTGTCTTCCAGTTCTGATGTCTTGTTGCATCCTAAAGTATTAATCTGGGTTTACTTTTTGAACCCCATTTAAAATTTGATAACACTTCTTTGAGGTCCCCTTTGTGTTGTCTTAAGACTGAAGAGCCCTTGCTTGTCTAATCATTGCTCATAGTTAGCTTATTCCTCCAAAACCAGGGAACATCATAATTACTCTCCTTTGACCTGCCTCTGGAGCCTAAGCAGCATCCTTATGTCGCTAGAACAGAAATGTATGCAGTATCATTGCAGTCTGACCCAAGCACTGTATAGCCTGAGAATGATGTATAAACTCAACTGATTTAGCATTTGATAAAGTGAGCGACAAGTCAACTAACACTCCTAGATCTCTTTTTCTTGGGAAATTCTGTCCCATCCATGAAGTACTTATCTTTGTATAACACTTTGAAATGTTATCCCTCCTTTTGTAAAATCATGCCCGCTTCTACTAATTTCCAAGTCTCCCAGAGAAGCCATCCTTTACCTTGATGACACAAATTTACCAAAATTGGATGTTCAAGAAATTTAAACATGGCTGGATGTTTATACTATCAATATAATGGAAAGGTAATGTTATTTAAATTCACAAATTATTTCTTCTATCATTTTGTGGCGAGGGAACTTAGCAGTCTATTAAAATGTTAGGTTGGGTTGGAAAAAGTGAACCCAGAACAATACTTTAGGATGCACTGAGACAGGAGAAAAAGAGACATGGGTTTAGAGTGGCAAAGGGTAATTTCAGGACTTATCAAACCAGGAACATTTTCTATATCTTTAGAGTAATGAATGACTGGAACAGGTTGTCAGCAAGGGTGGTTGAGGCAAGACCCTGGACTCATTCAAAAACAAGCTAAATGCCGTGATTGGAAGATGGTACGGTGGCTATTCGGATGGGCCAATGACCTTCTTCATCCAAACTAATCTTGCCAACTTATTTTGTAAAATAAATGCTCTCTCACTGTGTTCCTTCCTTCCCTTTAGTTTTGATGTTTTGACTAACACTTTATTTTCATTTGACTGGTCTTTGGAATTCCCCCCCCCCCCCCCCCAGCTTTAGAAAAATTAAATTACGACATTGAAATTGAGCCATATGTCAAGTAAAATTTTTACTTTTGTTTTAACTCCCTGCAATTATAAAGTCTTACATTGATCTAGTCTTGGAGGAATTCTGATGTCACATATGTTTGAAGTTAAGTTGCTTCAGTTTTGTCTGTAAAATCTATTTATACTTCAGGGAAAGCCTTGTAGTTTGAAATGTTTTGTCTTAATTTCAATCAACTATTGGTTTTCAGTACAATCATCAAATGCATGTTGTTAAAATACAGTATTTGGAAATGTTACTTTGTGATTAGTCTTCTCCAACATCCCATAGATAGGCATATCTGACTGCATTAGCTTACATTTGAAAGGGTTCTTCTTGTTCAAGCATTTGGAATATTACGAATGGGTTTAAATGTCATAAGATGTCTTTTGTTTTTGACTTGGGAGGAAAGAGACTAACACAGATTGTCCTTGTGCATTAGAGGTAGGAATGAATAAAGGCATGTTTTGTTCTGAGGCTTGTATTGAAATGAACTTCAATCTGTAAGTCTCCCTGATAGCAATAGACAGAGGCACCAAAGCAGTCAATAATATCTGTGGTGTCAACAAGTACCTACCTACCTATCTGTTCCCTAAAGTGAAGTGTCCAAAAGATTTATATCTGCTGATTAGAAATCTCTGAGAGAATTGAAAGTTGGCAACCATCTTACAAATATGTTCACCAAAACCAATGTTTGAGATTGTAAAATCAGTATTACTATTTATTCCAGAGAATTTCTTATATGACGAGCATTATAATTTGGGTGTATCATACTCTTCAGTGGCTGATGTATATCTTTTTGCATTTGATTTTTGAAATTATCCCTGAAAATATGCTGTTTCGAAACAAGTTACAAGGATTTTTTTCACATATTCATATTCAGCAACTCCATTCAATGACAGCTTCCTTACTTCAAAGGTACTTATTCTACCCTTTTGATTCTATGTTCAGGGTTAGTGCCGGGATGTTAAGAACTCCATCAAATTTATAAACTTTTATTAGTAATGAAAGAGCCTTTTGAGGCACATTTGTGTGAAATGTAGTGGTAAATATCTGTCAAGTCTAAAATTTTATTAAATTTCTTTTTTGCCTCCTTCTGCTGCGTACCTCATGTCACAAAGGACCTTTCCATTTCTAAACTTCGATAGAACTGTTTATTTGCATTTCTTTTCAGTTTAAAATCCACTTCCATTTTTCAAAGGAAATGTCCATAATTAAGTAATCTGGGGACTACTCTGACCTGAGTAATGTTTTATTGAACAAGTTACATATTTGCTTCAAGATATCATGCATTCCAGATCTTGCATGTCTTTAACCAGTGTGATTTTGGTTGCTTCAGCCTTGAACTGCACTGCCAAGAATTTGCAGGCTTTAATCCCTCAACTCTGTACATTTGACTTGTTCGGGAAGAAGTGGAGTGGAGAACAAAAAGAAGAATTTTGCTTCTTTGATCAGTTTTAAATTGAAATGTAATCCTGAAGAACCTTTTTTGTAAACCAGACAAATATGATTGTGTCATCCTTTAGTTCAGAGTTTCTGTGTGCTCTCCTCCTACTAACTGGTTAATTGCACATGTTAATATTGTTTTCTAGAAAATTTAGCATGATGTCATCACCAATAATTTTTTTTTATCAATCTTGCTTCGTCTATTCTCTGCTGGACTGTATCAACATAAATTTTCGATAGGTCGTAGTGTACTCACCAAAATCTTTCTTGGTTGCAATTAGAGGGTAGTTATTACGATCAGGGAATGATTCAAGGTGATCCTTAATCAGATACTACATTTAATATTGACTCATATGAGTACTGGAGTCTCATAACTTCAAAAATCACTGGTATGTCTTACTGATATGTGATCAGTTATCTGGAAAAAGAACGTGAGAGAAATGAAGGAAGCCTTCCACATATATGTGATTAAGAATACATTTAAATTGATTTCACTCAATAGACAGAACTGCCACAAGTTCTAATGAGATTTAGTATGCTTGACGACAAAGAAAAAGCATTAAAACACCACCAACGTTGAAAATTGATTCAGTGAAGAGATGACATTCCCAGCAATTAAGATGTCCATAGATTTATCATCAAATATCCTTCCCAAAATTGGCTGAAGAAATGCTTCCATTAATGTGTTGAAAAATAAAATTTGGATTGCAAATTTCAGATTACTTTCTTTTGGACGTTTGTTTTCTGTTTAAATTCTTTTGTTTTTCTGATCATTGTGTTTTGATTTGCTTAGGTTTTCTCAAACAATGATGAAGCACCCATAAACAAAAAGCTGCCAAAAGAACTTTTGTTAAGGTAAGAATGTGTTCTGTAATTTGTTTTTGAGAACTTGCAGGCTTTTTGCTTGATTTACTTTCACTGGTGGAGTGTAAATATTAAATTGTATCTTGGGAAGTATCCCCTTCTATTAGTCATGAAGGTGCATCCATGGGCATTAGATTACTAATCTTATGATGTCTTGGTACAACAACAACAATAACTTGGATTTATATAGCACCCTCCACGCCGGACGGCGTCTCAGAGCGCTTCACAGTAACAGATCCCGGGACCGAGCCAGGGGGAGGGGGAAGTGGTGACCAAAGGCACAGTCAAAAAGGAAGGTGTTCAGCCGAGACCTGAAAATTGGAAGAGAGGGGGCGAGGCGAAGGGAGTGAGGAAGGGAGTTTCAGAGCCTTGGGGCATAGTGGCTGAAGGCACGGCCGCTGATGGTTCTTCAAATGTTCTTTTATACATCATGAATCAATCCTATCGGCTGTTAATTGATTGATATTGTCTCTTAAAGGGATCTCTCCGAGATCCCTTTAAGAGTTGTTGTTATTGTCGTCGTGAAGGTGCATCCATGGGCACTAGATTACTAGTCTCATGATGTCTTGGTACAGCATTGGTAAATGATTTCCCCATAACCTTGCACATACGCACGCAACTTGTGGATAATTAGTGAGGATAACCAGCATTCCACTGTAGTATTGTTTGTATTTACAAAACAGCTATTGGCCTGGCTTTAAAACTGAAGCTGCAACTCTGTTGAAGTCTTACAGTGTTTAAGTATTGAACTAAATGTAATTTCCTTGGTTAGACTTGTTTATTCCTGTCTTCAATCTGTTTGGGGTGAGATCCCTTTAAGAGATAATGACAATCAATTAACAGCCGATGGGATTGATTCATGATGTATAAAAGAACACTCGAAAAGGGGCATAGGGTATGGTTATTGCCATGGGTTGGAGTGTACTGGTTTGGATCGAGACTCAAGCTCAGTAGCCGGTACTTTGTGAGTACTCTACTTATTACATGGTGTCGGAAGGAACCAAACTTGGACTGGAAAAACTAAGAGGCTGGAAAGGTACATTGAAACACGCAAAAATTATTTCAGGAGCAATGGAACCAGATTACCCATCAAGATGTTTGTAAATACCAAGACCATTGAAGCTAACAAGAAATTTCTGACATAATTGGCACCAGTTGGAATATTTGTGATAGCTACGAACCTGCTGCTACAAGACAACAAAATTCTATGCTGTTTTTTGTAAGTGTGGCAGGATAAGAGGCATGGAAGTATTTCGACACTCAAGAGAGTTATTTGTAACCAGGAAGCAAGGCCTAACAGAATCATTTACACAGTATTTTGCGGTACTCAGATCAGAATTCGCGGCAACAAGCCATGCAGTAAGCTGTTGAAACAGGAAGACATGGTCTTGGGGAAAGCTGTACAAAAAAAAAAGAAAATGTCAAGGACCCACACACAGGAAATGGAAAAAGCTGATAAAAAAAAATGGAAATAGATAAACTGGCTGAACAGAGGAACTGGAATGATTCAGATAAGTTGTATGGAATAAAACAAACATATGGACCAAGACGAAAGCAAAAACAACTGAAGAATGAGATTAAAGCATGCTCTCAGGTGATGTTCAGTGCAGGAAAGGAATGCATATTTGCAATGGATATGGACATTATGCAAGGAAATACAGACATAAATTACAAGGTCCAGAGGGGAAAACTTGGTGGAAAAAGAGAGATCACAGGACCGAAGGTGACCAGAAGAGACAATCTACAAGAACAAACACAAGCCACAAAAGAAAGGCTAAAAGAAACATTAAAGAAAATGAGAATGGACAGAATTGTGAATAGTTTCCAATATTTCCTCACTTTCTAGTAGTCCACTTTCTTCTTCATTCACCTTTTGAATTATTTTAAACATTCCCATTTTAATTATGTCATGAAGCCCACCACTGACTGGATGAGTACTTTTGTGATCATAGTTAAAACATTATGGATATGTTTAGACCCACATCAGTTTTTTTTAAAAAGTCTTAAGAGCATTATGCAATACAAATCTCTGAAGATGTACACTCGTTAATATATGGAGCAAAACATTGTTCAACATTGGATTGTTTTTGGGGATATTGGCAGCTTAAATTGTCCAAAAAAAGTGCTTACCTAACATTCTTAACATTTGGAAGATATTGGAGTCCTGTAGCTCAGTGGTTAGAGCACTCGCTTTGCAAATGAGAGACCTGAGTTCAATTCCAGGCAGAGGGCGAAACCTTGGGCAAGTTTCCTTACTCCACACGCCTAATAATAATCCCTCCAAAAAACAAAACAATAATAAATTGGTCATTTTCAATCTACAACTGTTTGTGGGACATTGCTGTGCGCAATTGGCTGCCCGTTCGCCCACAAATATACAGTCAATTCACTTTACAGTTTTCTGTGAAGCGCTTTGGGACGTCCTCCCGACGTGAAAAGCGCTATATCAAATGCAAGGATTATTATTATTATTGTTTGTAGAGAATGCTATTTGGCATAAGATCAGCACAAAGAGACGTTTCCAAAAAATAAAACTGTTGCAAATACTAGAAGGGATTCCCAATTCAATAATGTATATTGACGAAATTAATATTTGAAAGAATAAAAGCAGAGTCCAACGAATCGTTAGAAAGAGTATTGGGAGGATTAGCAGCAGGCTTGAAAGCAGGGAGGAAGCATTTATAGAGGTCGGCTCGCATTGGTAATACTGACACGAAACATCCCACCAAAAAGTAGTGGAAGAGCCAAGTAGGTATGGGTTCTAGAGTGACTCGACTGAGTTCAATGGAGGATTTGAAGTTGTCTGGAAGGTATCTGGATTTCAGGAAAATGAAGCATCAGCAACTAGACTATAATTCCCAACTTTCCTGGGGTTGGGGGAAGCGGGTCTGGGTTGACTCCCAGGCCAGTCTCAAGTGCATGGCACCGTTAAATTCAATGAAGCATCTTTGGGGCACGTCTGGCTCTTCTCTGTGCCGTAATTCACTAAAGTTGCTTATTGTAGGTGAGACTCAAGTTGGGCGAACAAGTTAAGCTTCAGTGAGTTATATTAAAATCCCCTAAATCTAGGGGCAGTATTTTGATTAAAAAATGTCTTTTAAGCATAATTCAGGGATAATGCAAATTCTATAGTGAATACCTGTGGGGGAAAAAATGGAACATATTATTTTGCTAAGAGTGGGTAAGTGTGGAATGTAATTTAGCTGTCTGAATTGTCCAATGTAAACAGTCTAATTATCGTGAGTTAAGTTCAATATTTGCAGGGATATTGTTTAACTTTGCTCAAGCCAAGAAACTACATTTGTTTCTACAAGCGTCTACTTTATTTAATTACTATTTAACGCACAGTTCTTATTTTGTTTGTGATTTTGTTTGTGATTCCAACAGTCCAATATTAGTTGGGTTCAATTCAGTATTCCATACGTTACAATAGCATAAGGCCAGTTTGAGAATTATATTAGCTGGATTCAATTAGGTGGGTTCAGTTGAGTTCAAGATTAGAGTTGTATTTATTTGGCAAAAATGACCTTTCCAGGCTCTGCAGCAAGGTAACAATTGTATGCTTCAGTGATCAAGGCTATGACTTGGATGACCAATAAAAAATGCATGAGCTCTTTCAGATAGAAGAATAAATTGTGCGTGCACAAAGTCTTAACTTGCTCGCACTGCAGTTGCTGATTAAGGTAGACTTTTGGATTTGTCAGCAGATTTTTGTTTCCACTAATTTCTGAATGATATCGGAGTTTTCTTAATTTATGAAGTTACTCATACACTTACTCATAATTTATGTGACCTTACTATGTAAGCTGTTCTACATAAAGCATCCTTAGCTATCCTCCCATCTCTTCCTGGGAAACTAAACTACAAACTTGAATGGGAACATTTCTACTTCTGGTATAGCATTTCAGAATACAAGGTTTTGAAGCATTAGAACAATTCCGTTTTTTCTATACTATGTTTTTTTCTGTACTAAGTTGAAGCTACATTGCATGTACTTGAATTCAGGAAAGTGTTTAGATGTGCTTGCAGAAAAGTTGGCTATTTGTATTGCTTTGAGTAAAAATGGACAGGGCAAAACATTGGGCAAGTTTTGTTACTCCACATGCATCTGTTTACCTAGCAGTAAGTAGGAACCCGATTGTTAGTCGATTGGCGGATTACTTTGCCATGGGTAATGATAATAATAATCCTTGCATTTGATATAGCGCTTTTCACGTCTTCTAGACGTCTCAAAGCGCTTCACAGAATAGATTGTAAAGTGAATTGATTGTATATTTGTGGGTGAAACGCAGGAGCCAATTGCGCACAGCAGTGTCCCACAAACAGTCGTGGATTGAAAATGAACAATCTATTATTGTTTTGTTTTGGAGGGATTATTATTAGGCGTGTGGAGTAAGGAAACTTGCCCAAGGTTTCGCCCTCTGCCTGGAATTGAACCCAGATGTCTCGCTTGCCAGGCGAGTGCTCTAACCATTGAGCTACAGGACTCCACAATAATAATTCCTTCAAAAATAAATAAATAAATTAGTCACTCAATCCACAACTGTTTGTGGGACACTGCTGTGTGCAATTGGATGCCGCGTTTTGCCCACAAAATATACAGTCAATTTACTTTACAGTAATCACGTTTCTGTGAAGCACTTTGAGATATCTCAAAAACTTGATAAGGCACTATATCAAATGCAAGTATTATTATTACTCTTGGCTTTCCATTACAACTTCATCTAACATGAACTTGAGGACTAAACAACTTACAAAGTGAACGTAAAAATAATGAATGAACTAAAGAACTTGTGCTTAAATTTACAAACTAAGACTGCAGACTAAATTAAACTAAATCTCAAAATGCTTATAAAAGAAAGCTGCAACTGAAATTAGAAGCAGCACTTCCCTAGGAATACTATATTTTGTAAATTGTAGCGATTCGACAGTCACATTTATTTCATTTAGATTTTCAAATTTTTCATTAAAATTTACTTGGATGACTTAAT